ATGGCCTTTTTAGAAAGTGAACCATCAATAAGCAAATGTTGGCAGTTTTCTCAAAAAATGCTTGAATTCAAGAAGTTTTAGATTTGCGTGGTTTTCTTTGAGTTGCAAAATCTACTTGAACATGACACTGCTTTTTTCTAAGTTTCTCAAGAACCATTTGAGCCACAGGATTCGTTTTGGCATCGTTGAATAGAGAATTGAAAACTCGATTCAGTCGTAACAACGTGAGTGAGAAAATTTGAGTAGTTTTGACCCAGAAAGCGAAATTTGAATATAAGACACTTAGGTGCAACATTATGCCAAAATCCATGTTTTCCGTTCCGTTTTTGCTCATATCTCGGAGACACAATGAGCAAGAACGCTCATTTGTACATAATTCTAGACAGAAATAAATGGCCTTTTCAGAAAGTGAACCATGGATGGGGAAATGTTGGTAGTTTTCTCAAAAAATGCTTGAATTCAAGAAGTTTTAGACTTGCGTGGTTTTTTTTTGAGTTGCAAAATCCACTTGAACATGACGCTGCTTTTTTCGAAGTTTCCTCTCATAGGGCCATCATAATAGGCCAATCTTGAAGATTTGTAGTTAGAATTTTGCAAATTTGAACTTTTCCTTCAATATACGCAAACCTGCCTCTGCCTGCCCTCTATATTGCGTACTTCCCCAAAATAAGTCTTTTTTAGAATTTCCGTTAATTTCGAAAATGAATGATGAATCGAGAATTTCTAGTAGAAATTCGAGGAAAACAAATTATTGAATCTACTTATGCTATCAGCCCTGATAACTTGGTATACTTGAAATGCGCGACAATAATTGTGTGAATAAAGATAATAATTTATTGACTTAACGTCTGAATCGACGATATAAAACGATTCCTCAATGTTTACCCGCAGAAAAATTACCATCTGCTTATATTCCTTCACTCATCTGCAGTTTTACGTAATAATTCGATTGAATGGCTTCCAAATGGACTAAACCCAACTAGCGACGCTGTTCACTTCATTATGCCGAACTATTTAAATGGTGAAAATGAAAAAATGGCCTTTCAAAAGCCTCAGCATCGTCTGGTCGATCCACTTAACATAAAATCGGTTTAACCAACCGTTAGTTCTTTCTAATTTCGATAAATCGCTTCAAGTGGGTACCCGACTTCCTTGTTCATGTGGTGGATTGATTAAAAGTGCACCAATTGACACACACTGTACCAACCCACTGGGACATAGTTAAAAGCTCGAAGAAAACCGGTCGATCGAAAAACGGTTTTCGCCTAAGGGGGTTACAACAAAGGTGCCAGTTATGTAATGGGGATTTATACGTACCGAGAGCCATTGAGATCAGGGGTCAAACGGGTCGAAGTCCGGCGGATTAGGTGGCCAAAACGACAAATCCGTATTGCCAAGTGCACCTATCGGAGTTTCTTCATGTTTTCTTTGCTCCCATCTATAGGCACTCAAGGGCTTCCTCTTCGGCACTGGGGCGTTGTTTGGATGTCTTCTGATCAGGAAGCAATCATCAAAGCGCTCTGAAGAGTCAAACCGCATGCCAACTCAAAAAATTGCAAATGCAAATTCTCACGCCTTTGCAAGCAAAAGTGGGCAAGTGGTCTTGGAACTTGTTTCACTTATTCGCATTAAAATGCAAACATGTACAAACTGTTCTGTGGGCGATAGGGAAATTTCAAAAAAATCAACAGTTTTGCTTGTGTTTTCCCCCTTTGCCTCGGACGGTTTCCAAAGCAACTTTACCGTCATATCGACTTTTCAGCGCCAACACAAACATAAGAAACCCACAGTGTTTACAAAGCTGTATAGTGAACATGAACTAACTCAGGCGGAAAATGGATTTAGATCATGAGTTCGAATCTGACGATAGTTTCTTTGATGATCCCAAACTATCGAAAAAGACCAAAACTACCGAAAAAAAGTCGCTGGAAGACATCTTCGGCTTTGCCGATGAAAGGAAGGCGGATAAAAGCGGGCATAGTTCTTTAGAGAACATCCAGAGCACAGCAACCAAATCTAAAGTGAGTATATCACTTTGCCCCTCTGTCCACCCAAAAATCACTCCTCAACTCTAGGTTCGCTTTGATGTCGATACAGCTGAGGAGGACTCAAAACGAAAAGCCCCAGACTGGCTGGGAGGGTCAGAAGATGTAGATTTTTCCAAAAAATCATCTTCCTCCCTGAAAAGCAATCCCAAGAGCGACTTTTTCGACGACGTCCTAACTACCCCTGCCTCAAGGTCCGACAGCAAAAAGTCCTTCGATCTCCTGGACGATCTCTTGCCTCAGAGAGGCAGAAAAAACGAACAAGCCAAAACTTCCTCATTCGACGATATTCTACGAGAGAGCAAAGCTCAGAAATCTGGCCCTGAGTCCCTAGAAAATCCACGGCAAAAAGCGGACAAACCTGCCGAAAAAATGACGCCTGAGGGCTTCAGCACGATTCTGGAACCTTCGCAAGGGCCGAGAAGAAGTAGACGCGGCTCTAACACGGGCGTAGGTGACGTTTTGGGGCTGTTTGGCCCCAGTAAAACCGAAGAAAAACGATCGACATCCAAAGGTCAGGCTTAAGCAATCACCCAACTTGCAATAACTCAAAAAATCACCCAGATGTTCCCGATTGGCTCGGTGGAAGTTCCACATCAGTCAATGTGTCTGATACCACAATATCTCTGCATAAGGCTGAATCAAAAAACCTTGAAGACCCAAGCAGGAACATTCCTCAAAAGGAGTTTCGAGCTGAAACATCCACATCAAACAATGAAGCTGCTTCAGACATCCCTAGAAAAGCCCAATATTTGAAAGTTTCTTCACAAGGCAACAGAGTCAATTAACTAGAAAAAAACCAGTCTGAAATTGAGTTGAATTTTAGGCGATGAATCCTCGATCAACACCTTCCAAGCCAACATTTCCAACCTGCAAACCCAAGAATCGTTTCTTCTAGTGTCGCTTCAGCTGAAAAAGTATGAAGAGAACCTGTCGGAAATCAAGAGCCAGCAGCAGGAAATCTTGAGGAAGCAGGAGAACCAGTTCGATTTATTTTTGAACAAGTACATAGAGAAGCAAAAGAGCATTGAGCATGAAATGCTCGCTCAGCAGGAACGGGTTAATGACCATATCAGAGCTTTATCAGGGTCTCAAAGCACGTTTCCAGCATATTTGAGTCAACTAGAACTATCTGCTAATTTCCTGCAGGTAACAAGTCTTCAACCACCGAAACCTCGGACAAGTTGGAAGGCGAATCCAACACGGAGAGTGTGGA